CGGGAATAGACGTGTGCCGAGCAGCGTTTTTACTTTTTTCAATAGTGAATCAGGCTGCTATAATATCATAAATACAATATAATATTATAGATGAAGGTGCAGGCGCGTGGCGGAGTGAGATAAGGCGGCAATGTATCAACGCGCGGTCGCCGGTTCGAATCTCCGGCTACTGGAGGTTTGTTCTCTCCGGGTGGGCAACTGCTAGTGGAAAAAATGGCCACCTTTTGCACCTCTCTCTGGGGCCAACTTGCTTGGCAGCGTAAGGTCGGCAGCCAGCTATAAAACCCAAAAATGCCAAATCTTAACCGTCTAAACCCCGATTGCCGGGAAAAACGGACTTAAAACGTAAGAGAGATATTACAATATGTTATAGATATTAAACAATCAGAAATATTAATATTATAGGATTTTTTAATTTCATAGGCGTAAAATTGGTATTATGTAAATCCAAAAAAAGGATGGAAAGTCGGTCTAATGGAGTTTGCCTATCTATAATATGTTTAAGCTATGATAAAATACAACTTTTTAATTTTTCACTTTTAAGCACTTGCCTGGGGCCTAACGCCGCACCGTCCCTGATGGATAAGGAAGCTGCGTATTCGATTTGAAGCTCCTTTTTTTTACTTATGTATTTTATTCGTATGTCACTAAATCTAGAAATGTGTAAGGACTAGTGAAACAAGGCAATGTTGTCTATTTTCTTAAATATATTTTATCTTAAATCTTAAATTTGCAACTGCAATTGTCCACATTGAAAAGAAACCGCTGTCCTCCTCTCCAGCAACGGACTAACGCTGTAAAATAAGCGAATTCTTTGGATGAGGAGACATTGATGGCCGTAAATGAACCGCTTAAGGTGTAATTCACAGTTAGGTTTTTGTTGAGGATATCATTCCTTTTCGCTGGCCTTAGCATTGTGACACTCGCTTTTTTTTGTATACTTAACTCGCGCCACAAAAATGGCACTAGATTTATTTATATCTTTCCGACGAAAAATAACACGGGTATAGAGTATAGACTGAGTTAAATTATATTAATACGATTATTAAATTATTCTGTATTCGAGACCGATAAAATAAGATTTATGTGAACTACCCTCAGTAACAAAAATGCAAACTTCTAAGTTCTCCCCTTTTGAAAAGGCTTAATATTAAGGACTCAATTTTTTATATTGTCCTAAGCTCCTTAAGCTTAATCTATGGTTCATATTTCAAAAGCCCATCATAATAGATAGTAGAGAAATGAGAGTTAGAAAAACTGGGTGAATTGGATCGTGTAAAGATACACTGGCATTTCTGAAACTTGGCATGCGCACTGCCTTGCGCTCAGATGTAGTTTACATACTTGACGATTAAACGCAATGCATAGCTCGTGATGACCTTTACACTGTCAACTTAAGCACGTATAAACAGATAAGTATTATAAATCAACTTAAGCGAACTCCCAACCTTAATTTACGTGACAATCGAATCCGCCCCCCGATCGTCATTCTTTTCTTAAAGTTCATTATTTACATAATATGACAGTGTACAGACACAATATTGCCCGTGTAATACATTGATCATCTAGTTTCACTGTGAGTTTTGTAAGCCTAACATGAGTGTTAACTGTTAAAAGTCGGTGTACACTTAATAAATGCTAGTGAAATGTATTGAGGATCACACGGGTGCGGCAATACGGGGGTCGAGCTCGACGCGTGAGCGAGTAAATATTAATTTTTTTTTTTATTAAATCACTTTTAGCCGGTTTGGTTTCTCCGGCCATTTGCAAACACAAATCTGACATTCTCGATAATTTTAATATTTTTGTGTACCACTTGTATACACTATAATAATGGGCGTTAAATGACGCTTGAAACGTTGCCTATTTATAAATCTATAGAAATCAGTTTATCTATCAATAATCATTATCGTAAACTCTCTAGAAGTCGTAGGTCCGATGCGTTATTATGTATTGTAATTTTGTATCTCGATGTGTGTTTCATAACTTTATATAACTCAAGTAAATATCTAGTTACCTTGAAAAAGAAGTGATTAAAAAAACTGACGGAAAGATGTTAAACGTTTGAAAGTTGAATCGCCTTGAATGGGTCGACCAACGGAAATACATATACTCTGTTCGACTTCAATCGTAATGTATTTATTAGGTTTATTATATGGGGAACTCGAACGAACTGTAAATTAATTTTATTTTCGGTGTAATAAATGTTTACAACTACCGCGCCTCAAGTTTTTATTGTACGCGTTTTTAGAAATTACAACCGATTAAAATGAACAACCCATTCCAGATTTATAAATATTATGTATAATAATAGTATATTCTTGTCCGTAACGCTGAAATTTAAGTACAAAATATGAATAACAATCATTTCTATTCGTATGATTCTTAGTTACTGTGTTGTATAGTTAATTTAAGATGTATGTATATTTTGCAAATTCCCGCATATCTACGTTCGAATTTTTCATAGTTCAAATATTTACCGTGGAGAGTGTTTCAGTTATATAGGGTGTTCCAGAAAGCAGCCATATTTTGAAAATTTTATAACTTTTTTAATATTTGTCCAAATTAAAAAAGTTATAGAATTTTCAAAATGTGGCTGTTTTTTGGAACACCCTATACATAATCTGTCATCTGATTAAGTTTAGATGGTGTCTTTTCTGTAAAAAAACGTGGTTTATAAAATAACCTACATTTTAACCGACAGAAAGTGTAAACAAATGTAAAAACATTTTTTTAAATGTTCTTTTGTAAAATTGTAATTTTGTTGTACACACAATATCGATTTAAGGGGATGGGATACCGATTATTCCCGGCTCTGTCCAACGCGCAACATAGAAATTTAGACGTATATTTTTCCCAGCGTATGTATTCATAAGGAATACTTTTTTTATTTATTTTTCTACTGTGAATAAGAAATGGTTGTACATTTTATAAAATTTCAAATTGCAAAATCAAATTTAGAATAGGTGTAAGTTCAAAATTGAAAAAAGTTCTCCGTTTTATCTCAAGTAAACTTCATGACCATTTCAAATCTGTTTTCAAATTCATGTTTTTATCGATTCACTTGGTAGATCTATACGATGGACAATATATACTTCTAAAATCCTATTGCGCGTGAGATAGAGAATAATCGGAGAGACGGGATTAATCGGTATCTAATCCCTTCAATGAAAGATTTTTGCAAAAGTTACAGCATAAATAAGTAAAATCCGAGTACTGAATACAGAATAAGGGCGGAGAGAAGAATTGTTCCATTCGGCTATGGTTATTTAATATTTATTATTTCCTGACCGCAATATTCCAAAGGTTTTTATTTTCGAAACGCAACTAAAAGAATTTTGTAATTTCCTCGTTGGTGGGAATATGTGTGTTTATCGTGTTCAATGACCCTTTCATTACACGAGACGTCTTAATAACTCTTTACAATAGTGTTGTAGACCGTCATTAGAGTACCATACATGTATATTATACTGGTGTGGAGGATGGGATCGCGTCGTCGCTTTTGTTCAGCTCGATAACAACATCATCTTCCCAAGTATAATGAGAGATATAGTTTTCGTTTTGATTGAGACAGAGAAGATGAGTATATTCACCGATCATACTTAATAACGTCCTGGGGCTAATTGATTTGTGTACGGGTGTCTAGGTGTATTATTATGGACCGATATATTTTATTCTCTACCCTATGGATAGAAATTCTCACCGAGCAACACGGGTTGTCGGAGTACATGCGTTTCGTAATTGCGCGTGTGGCTGACAATTTACACGGTACTCGCATTAGCCGCAAAGCGACAGAGGACACATGATTTAACTCGGCCCTATTAATCTGTCGGGGTGCCTCGTTAAAGAATCAACGCCTAGGACAGACAGTGGTATTAATGTGTAAACATATACGGTCATATACATTTTTTCGTAAAAATGAGCTTGTTACACTATCTTGTGGTTAGTTCCCGAACGAACTGATTTATAAATCGAGTTGTTGAAGAATTATCACGATTTGCGCTACAATATATATAAATATATTATTACTTACCTACGACGGCAAAGCAAGTGGTGTTCTGAAAATTAGAAAATATTGACTATTATTGTTTTTCTCTGTAGTCCTTTATATCAAAGTCTCCGTTTAGAATTTTAAAACTTTTTGATATTTTCAAAAAAACCCAACCACTTAAAAAATTATTGTAATTCTTTATATAAAAAAAAAAAACGTTTAACTATGTTAAGTTTTTAATAAACGCGAACTAATTATAGAAAGTGGGAAATAGCTGGTCAGCCGTTGAGAGGCTAACCGCTGTGTATAAATATAATGAATAATGTAACTAATTTGTATACTTATAAAATAGAAACATAACATATGCAGGCATTACTGAGTTGGCGTATTAATTCTTTAAGAGTATAATAAAATAATATAACCGTATCTTAAATACTTAATGTATGATTATATATTTATTCCAAAACAATAAGTGATGACCAATCTTTAGAGTTATAATTATATTGATTCAATAATAGTTTGTTGTTGTTGTTGTTTTGATCTTAGTCATAAAGTGATTAAAAATATTATAATTAATGGAGATAAACAAAAAACTTGTTTTAATCGTATTCCTTTTTTCTTAACAACTGCACTTTTCAATAAACAAATATTTAAAATACTAGGAAAAATCAAAGTATTCCAAATAAACTCACCAGTTTTATACCCATGACATTGAAAGTATTCCAATTTGCTTTCAAGAACTTTTAAAAAGAATGTAAAAAAAAATACTATTAAAGTAATATTATTTTATTTTATATATTTATATTCTATGTAGTATATACAGAGTGACCACGAAAACACTGTACATTTTTAAAAAGGCAAAATAATATTAATTTTTCAAAAAAATTTTTTTTAACTTATGTAACATGTTTGTGGGTGTACGCCATTTATTTTACGGCAAATAACTAAATGTTACGTATTCATAAATTTAAATAAATCTTATTATAAGATTTTTATTTTGTTTTTACAGATGGACCTGATATTTTTGAGAAAGACAGAGTACCAACATATTTAATCAGGTAAGATCTTAAAAAATCATCAAAACTGTTGGTTTTGGTCCAACATAATATCATTATGACGTCTTTCGGTATTTGCGATGCATATCATAGTCCAATTACTTCTGTGATAAATGTGAAGAGCAGTTACCACTTTAATATGCTGCTTATTAAAGGCAAGCTTAATATTTTTCCAAATTCCACATTATTAAAATATATTTGTAATAATTTATAAAATTTTTGTTTTATTGTACTTAAGTCTTGTAAGTAAATAACAGACTCATACGAATATGTTACTGCATAATGTTATAATTTAACTATGGTTAATTATTTAAGTATAATAACTAATAAGTATTATGTAATGATAACCGATAGCTTATTTTTACTTTAAAAAACTGCACGTAATATATAATGACAATGATTAATGACAAAAATGTATCATTATTAATTCATTAGAAAAAATATATTTTTTTATGTATAGAATGATTATTATCTGCATTCGGTACTCAATAACGATTCAGATCCCTGATTTAATAAAAAAGAAACTTAATATTTTTTATACTATACATAAACTGACGTTGAGTTATTCCAAGTGAAGTGTCGTATAAACTCAAAATTATGAACATCATAGGGATGACGTCGTTTAAAAACATTGACATTAAGCAACACTTCCAGGGACTGCGCGGTTTTTATTAACTACATGGCAGTTTGGCTTAGCAATTACTCAGTATGATCTGTAGCACTTAAGAACAGTGTACAATAATAATATTGTAGCGTCGATGTCTGATATGTATACGATGTTGTTTGTATGCCAAAACGTAGTGTACGTCAAGTGATGTAGTTTTTTGTAATCAGATTATGTATGTATTATGTTTTAATTAATTGCACAGCACGTCTCTTTATGGCCCCACAAAAATAGTCTGGTACACGCCACACCGTCACAGTATTAATTCGAAAATAATTTAACAGAGATTTACGAAACATCCATCCTCGTCCTTTAAAACGCATTATGGTGGACGATGCACACGAGAAATGTTTTTGACGTGAGCCCTTAATATAGGTTTTATCCATTTTAATGTTACGTCCTGAGATTTTCTAGACAAAATCATAAGCATAGAAAGCTTTCCGAGATCAAAAAAATCCAACATAACGTAACGTGCAAAAATAGTTTTTTAATACAAACAATTGGTGTAGAAGGTAATAACTAATAATAGTAATACTTAGAACAGTAGAACTTTAAAAAAAATGTTTAATAAAGTTTCGACTCAATTATTCTTTAATTTTCTTTTTTTTCTGATAATACAGGAAAAAATATACTTCATAATTATTAAAACTGTTATTCTAAAAGTTAAATCATGGCGTTGAGTGGAAGTAATAAAATATAACCTAAGCTATTTAGACCACTGATGTCTCCTGTCTCCCATAATGTTTATCAAAACAATATTCGATTTCAGTATTTGATGAAACAATTAGAACTATCATATGGGGTCAAATATACCATATTTTTCTAAAAACTTTTTTATTCGACAAATTTGATGCTTATTTATCATCAATTTTTATCGACATTTGGGTTTGTGGTAATGTATGAGCTGATAATAAACTTATAGGCCATGACATCATAGTATTAAACAAATTCTATTATCGTGATTATACTAAGTTTGTTTTGCTGTTAAGCCAAAACAAGGTAAGACAAATCCATAAATCCTTATTTGTGAATAACTAGTTATTATCATTTTTTTAATTGACCTAGTTAAATCTAGTTTGACCTAGTTAATATGAATTGGGAGGTATTTGATTTTGCCGTAGTCTTGGAATTTGGAAATGCTACTAAACATATAACATTAAGTTCCGTGTGCGAATACTGTTTTGTATGCAGTATGCGTAAAATAATGTTTAAATATTCCGTTAAATTGTTATTTATATTACATTTTTGGACGAGTAAAACTAAATAGCGTTTTCGAGTTGTAATTCGTGAATCACGAGATGAGATAAAACAATTCTTGTACGCTGTGTGGCATTTATTATCTTTGAAATATATACATACTAACAGAACTGTATTATGTGTGTACACTATTCGGGTTTACTCGAATATACGAGTATTGTTTATATCCCTTTTTGTTGCCCATTAAACAAAAAATACCTTATAAATAATTTAATGTTTACCGGTGTTCCATTAGCGCTACTACGAGAATTTATTTTTGACCATGTCTCTTTATTTGATTATTCGGAATTAGTGTTTTTTTTTTCAGAGCCATTAAAACACACTGCGTATGTTTTGAGGGTTTGGATACAGTTCGAGCTAAAGGCATTTTACTTGCTTACTGAAGAAAAAATCCAAAATTATATATGTATTCTAAAATTGGACAATCGTTTTACACAGTGCTAATTGTCTTAGTAAAGATCATTTTACTATATGGGTGAAGAAGTATTTTTTCTTGAGCTTAATTTGTTCTGTGACACTTTATTTTAGAATATGTATCTTTACGTTAAAATTGAATAATTAAAATTTTAATAAAATTTATTGAAAACACTTCTATGTGAATCTATGGACATGCCATGCAGATATGAGAAGCACATGCTTTCTATGAAGAATGAGTTTACATTTTATAGTTATTGATTGAAGGTCAGATTTATATTTCTTGGATTTAGAATACCACAAACAAATTTGTTTGACCTAGGTTAGGTTTATAATTATTTGAAATAGCTTGTTTAGCTATCACTAGTTTAATCATTTTAGTTGTACGCCATGAATTATGATAACAACGAAGTAACACGCATATTATTATCCTGAAGTCGTAGGCGTATATATTTTGTAGTAGGATGACAGAAGTTGATATGCCACTTTTTGTCATTTTTGGTGTATACTTACTTAAATGTTTTAAGTAACTTAGTAAGTATTATACAAAGTGGCAAAATAAGGTATATCCGGGTGCTTTCATTATTTTCATCATTATCAAGCTATGGTTGCTTTTAATAAAGCTAATATTTAAAAAAACATTTTGCCGATATGTCAAAATTAATTTTTTGATATAATGTCTATACATGGTACGCCTTTTTCCTCTCCTCTTGACATATCATGTATAGTAAATAACATAATGATAGAAGTAAATAGTTCAGTTTTATACTTCATGAAAATTACCAGCAGTATAATTGATTATGGGCCAATTATTGGTTTCACTATTTTAATAGCAATATCTTACTGCTATTTTGACATTTAAAACTAACAGTATACGTTAGCTTTGAAATATATTAGCTGAGAACGTGTATTTATTCATATAAATTGCGATACTCGAGTATACCTGTTATACCGTTGATTGTAGCGATTTGTGCACGTTTTCGTTCTCAGTAAAATTGATTTAAAAATGCAAAGTCTCTCAAACGCTCAGTCGGTATTGTTTTTCGTCGCATGACCATAATCGTTAAATACAGAAGGTATTTCAAACAATATATTCCAGAATTACCTTTTAGATCATAAAATTATTTTTATGCTCACTTTCAATAGAATTGTGGTTTTGACATTATAATAAACATTTAACGTTTAAATCCGTACGCCAATGCTCGTATATTATTAATGTATTCAGTTTTCTGTAATAGTTTAAAAATAATTTATGAAAATGGCTGCTCGTAAACGGTCAGAAACGAGCCTCTAGATAGACACCACAGCAAGACGACCCGTGTGAAATCCAAGTGCCGGGTTCTTTGGAGAAATTTTCACCTGCATTGTATTTGAGCATATTAGTTTACATACCCTTTAGAAAAACATCCCCAAACATCGACCGTCGTGACTTAACCGCCAAAATACTATTCACTAACATATCTCCGCCATGTTTCTTGTAACGCACAGTAATCATGTCTTTACACAGGTCTTGTATTTTTACATTCAGGACATATGGAAATATTTTGACTTCAACGACCGGTATTTAGGTAAATATAACAAAAACGTACCGTGTATTTTTTTTTGCGTGGGTTCGCCACAAAGACCCATTACCATTTTATTGACTGTGACCGTCGTTTGTCTGGTTCGATGTTTCTTTGGGCACGCCGAAAGACGGGTTTTTTTCATAAGTGTTATTGGTTACCATCAAAAGAGACGTTAGTAGGGAAATAATTGAAAACGCCGGTCTGGTATGTGTGGTGAAAACCTAAAAACTAGTATACCATAATTATAATATTATCTATATAATCTATAAATCCAATAAAAAAAGAAAAAAAATTATACAAACACATAGATGATTACTATAATATTATAAATAATACAGTGCCCAAATGACAGTAGGATTTATACCGTCGGCCCAACTATATAAATACGAGCATACAAAATAATAATCGGATTTGGAAAACCAACGACGTGCGTTCGTGTGTGTTCTAAGTTATTAATACGTAAGCTAATTCGAAAATATATAACACAGATTTTGTTTTAATACACGAAATTCAAAAAACACGATGCAATTGAGTTGGCTGCCAAAGTAGTCGAAGGTAGTCGATATTATTACATTCAAAGGTTCTATTGAATTGGCTTCCAAGATTCCACTATTAAATTAAATTGTTTTTTCAAATAGTATTTTTCAATACATGCCATTAATTTTTTTTATGCCAATAGATTGTTTAAATAAATATATGTTTTATTAGAATAGCACTTGATGTGATATTTTTTGATCTTATGTAAGAGGTAGAGAAATTCACGAACTTTGTTTTTGCTATACTCTAAATTTTCATCATGGACTACGACCCATCTTCCCCTGTGCCCTTCACTTTTAAAGATACTAAAGTTTAAAATTAAAAATTGAAGTTGGAGTGCGGTAGATTAATAATGCGGACAGCTAAAAATAAAACTATTCTCCACCATTCTTCACGTTCTAAAAAATTACCTTTAAATGTAATTATTTAAAACTGGTTATCAACCAGTCAGCAAGTTATTGTTAATTAAAAAATTTGATAAAACATATACGTTACCATTTACATTTTAAAACTTGATAGAGCTCAGTAAAATACTAAAAAAAAAATATTTAATAGATATTTTAATA